TGTTACTTGGCTTTAATTCCCTTATTTTATAATTTACACAGCCTTGAGTGCTAAGCGACGTAGCTATAGATAAGTACTGTTGACAAGGACAATAAGCTGGTGTCCAAATTCTCGTACACGGTTGAAACGCCTCTGAAAACGCTGTGCTTGGTTCGCTCCGGATCATATTTCGCAGTGAAAGTAGATGGATACATAACACTTAAGTATAATACACGTGATTACATGTAATGCATTTGTGCAAACGATTCTTACAAAAAGAAAAAATATAATAGAATAAAATTCATAATATTAACAAGCAAACCCTCCGTATACAACGCAGCCACAACAGAAAGAAAAGACCCGCTAACATCACAACATCATGTGAGCTGCACGCAGGAGGGTACGAACCCTACCCGATCGCGTAGGAGGGTCAAGCCCTAACGACCAAGCCAGATTCCAGGACCCATTCTTCAAAGTCAAACAATTTGTTCGTTGTACAACACATAGGCTTTCTAAACGAATATAACACACAAACAGTGTTGTATTCATCTATAGCACATATGCCTTATATGCGGGGTAAGACGGTAGCACAGTTAAGCTTCCGGAGGCACATCTAGTTAAGGTCAGTTAACTTAACCACGACACCTCTACTGAGCCCCTGGGTGCAGCGGGTATCCCAATATATTTAGTGCGATAAGTCCAATAATACCAAGGGTGACTTCAACCCACCTGAAGTTGCAGAGAGCGCCGGAGATGGTGCTTGTTCCGCCGGTGGATGATCTGGCCTTACTATAGGTTTTGAACGTGCTCGGGCGCTGAGGAAAACTGACTTTTGTGCATGAATGTATGACATTTCAAACATCGACTGATTTTTGTACTGGGGAAGTTTAGGTTTAAAACTTGTGTCGCAGGTTATGTATTCTACACAAAGTTGTCGCGCCCATCACTAATGTCGCCAAAATACAGACCGCCAAGTCCGCCGAATCTGCTGCACTGCGCAGTACCTGTCCACCAGTCCCGCTTCACTGTGCCGCCATTGACCGCCAGTCCCGCTGTGCTGCACTGCCCCAGACTAACGGCCGCGCTGTGCTCTGCTGCTCCTGGTCTTACGGTGCTACGCCCCCCTGCCCTCTGGTCCCGCTGTGCACCACTGTTCCAGTCCGCCGGTTCACTCCGCAAGGTAAACTTTGTTCGGCGTCCGGTGCCCTCTCCCGAGCCGTGAAGCCGTTTGGTTACTTGGCTAACGATAAATATGACGTCCAATTATATTGACGAGCTGCGCAGTACTGTTGCTATGGGAGATTACGGGCCCCTAGATACAATTTTGCAAAGGTCTACAAAACATCCCAAGGTCAATGATATGTTACGAGCAAGGTCTCGTGGGGAGAAGCTGTAAAGAGTGAAGCGCCTGCTTTGGTATACCGACAGGCATCTAACGATGTGGCTGGCTGGCGGGGATACTGTAAAATCCCAACCAATACCGAGCACATCTACGACATTTTGATGACGGGTAACATTCCGCTATATGTCCGAGAAGGAGTGAAACAACAATGGCTAGAAAATAGAACAAGTCCCCCGGATCAGCTATCCACCGACTTTCCAGGATATTACTCTAAAATGCAAATCCCATTAAGCCAAGGTTATAGTTTTGAACCTGAAGTCTAATTTCAAGTTGGCAACCGAGAAACACCAGTGCATGTGGACCATGGACGCGTGGTGTCCTACATTCCTCCAAGCGCTTGGCACTGCTTCAAGATTTGGATTTTCTTTCCACCTATACGTAGCCGCACCGGTACTTTTAAGTGGGAAAAAGTAATTTCTTTAATCGAATGGTGGATTGCCTTTTTGCTGAGGTACTAATTAAAAACCCAGGTGATTTAGTGTACCTCAACAATCTGGTGCAACATTCAGTTCTGCTAGGATATCAACCAGAAACAGCAGATATTGACAAGTGGGGGGCTTTTTTTGGAGAAGTTATAGTAACTGAAAAGGATCGGATCGCCTCGTTTACCTACGCCACTGAAATCGCATCTGGATCCCGCAGGTGGTCAAAGGATTCATGGATAGTAGTGTTGTCCGCGTATTGCGTTATGGAAGGGCGCGAGTGGAATAGCGCGAATTACGAGGAGGAAAAAAGTTACTTTCTGAAAAAGCTATTGCCTCCGGAAGCAACAGTTCAAGCAAGCAAAGTCGCCAAAGGCAAATGGATCAAGAAGAAACGCCTGGCTCAGAAATTAAAAGCTGCTAGAGACACGAAGAAGCTGAAAAGTCAGGAGTAGGCTCATATAGCAAATATATGTTGAAGAAAGCTTAAAATCCAAATAACTTTACAGAATATCTGTAGCCCCAGCTCCAATTAAGTGCTCTAGTGTTATCTGAAGCCACATGGGTTATCCATTCAGATTATGCGAGACGTTTGACAAAGTGATGTACATTGCGAGACAGTTTTATTGTAGAGGCAGCGTCAATTTGACATTTGTGATTTTCTGCTTTACTTTTGCCGGACAAAATGCGGCCCTAGTCGTCGTTTTGGGATCTACGCAAACTAAAGGTCCAGATCCATTATCTACACCTGTCCCTATACTAAATTTATAGAGCAGCTAATAGTTTAGATTAGTAATTGGCAAGTTTTAATTTCTATTGAGATCGGCAGTGTCCAAAACAATTATCGACGTTCTGCAGCCCTGATATCAATTTGGAGATCTGTGCGTCGGAAAAGCTATGGAAGAATTATACTGATGCTGATCTTCATTACCTATAGATTACCTTGTAGTGAACAGCATCGGTTCTATCAGTCTCCGTAAGTTTTCGGTTTTACTAGGAACAAAGAATACAAACAATGTGCTCAAGTACTTTTGCAGCCTACGTCAATAATATTAAACATCGCTGTTAATGATCTATGTAAAGCGCTATACTAATGCTCTAGTGTGTATGGGATAGAATGACATTGCTAACAAGTGAGTTTAGAAAGACTTTTATTAATCTTTGCAAAAATATGTCTTCTAAGCTACAAGCAAAGGTCTAAACTAGTCCACGCAAAGAGAGTGGGAAACACGAGATGACCTTCCTTTCTTCGCTTCCGTCGAGGGTCTAGACCGCTTAGCGCGTCTAATAACAAACCGGTGCTCCGTTCCTGGCCATCCAGCGATCTTCCGGTTGGCGTGCCTCAGAGATGCCAACAGGTGCACGCACGCACCAGATTTATAGAATGGTCTGCACCGACAGGTCTGCGTGTTGAGGTTTACAGTCCACTCGAGCATAGGCTGTCCGAGTCGCTCCATGCGACGGCTGTTCCGCTTGCCGTCTTCATTATTCCTGACGCTGTCCAGCGTGTCGATCAAACTTCGACAATGAAATTCACTTGGACGGCTAGATTCACCTTCCAGTAGAAACTGAACAGTATGTCGCGGCTGAGTTACCACTATTTTCTTTGCCTTCAAGAATTGTTTTGTTCGAGCAATCAGGGTAGTTACGGGCTTTGTATTCGTGGCAAACGTAGGGTGAAGAATGGAGCGGTGGTGGCACATAGATATCACCGTTTTGAACAAATCACAAAGCTTCACGCGAACACGTAACGTACATTCGCGCTTAATAGCTTTGTTGAACTGCTCTACGGGGTTGTTCGTTTTTGCAAAGCCAGTTGGTGACCAAAAGCACTGCCACTTGCAGAAACGACTTTTAATCCAGGTTGTTTTGAAATAATCGGCAAAGCGTTTCAGCTCTGGAACTGCCCGCCACAAGCTATCGGCACGCTCTTGAATTGACATAAACTCGGTGGCATTCTAGCGTAGTGCATTTCGTAGATCTGTCGATAGACGAGGTACTTCAAACGATTGGAGAGGCTTGAAACACGCTTTTTCACGTTTTTGACGACACGGAAGAAGCACATTAAATATTGTAGTTCTGGTTTAGGGTTTGTTCAACATCATTTAGTTGGGCGTCTTCAGCGTCTCCCATGCAGTAACGAACCACAAGCAGACGTCCTACGACCACCTTGCAGATCTCCATCAGGCTTCGAAGAACGTGAGAGTACTGGACGACTGTTCTTTGCGAAGTTGAAAAGAATGCCATCGGGTGAAAGTGCCGAGCAGCGTCAGAGTAACCGCAAACAATGAGTGGATATCCACACGCCACAAGCTTAAACGTCGCGTCTATATGAAAGCCAAAGGCACTGCTCCGGTCGATAGCGTGATGTTATCGACCAGCTCATTGCGGATGCGAGCGGGCTTTACGTCCTTTGCCACTAGCCCACGGATAGCCGCCTTTATCGCAAGAGAGAGTTGCGGACGCAGGTCAGGAGCGCTGACGGCAAAGTGGTCATCGTGCTGATAAAGATGGATCTGCTTCGTTCTCTCGCAGGTCAAGGTTTTCAGCTTAAACTTGCACCAGATAAGTGCGCTCAAGCAGGGCTCGGACTTGCAGCAGTAGATACGGTAGCGCATATGATGCTGATCGATGTTGCTACTACACACAGTACAGTGTTTGGGCTGACTTGCAAGCACACCCATAGGCGGCAGGGCGTCCAGCTTTCGCTTGGTGCGCGACTCCCACGTAGACTGTCTGTAAAGCGCCAATTTTAGGGGGATAACATGGTGGTGATCTTAACTTGGCTTTTATTTCTGGTTTCTAAAACTGAGCTTGAGACGCTGAACCTGCACGAGGCCTCAGTGCCATTAAAACATACGAACGATTGGCTTTTTTTTCCTAGGGGTGAGTTTACAATCAAAACCACAAGACTTTAGGACAAATCTCGTGCTGATTGGTCAAACGTTAGTTGGGCAGTGGATACATCAGCATCACGATACATAATTAAGTCTTTTTGGTTCAAAAATAAAGCTCCCCTCGTGTGTTGCTGCTACGAAAGTGCCGCTATATCTTCTCGACCCAGCTTTGTGTCTGTTCTTCGACCCCCCCCCAATTTATTGGAATAAGATATTCTGATTCGGGAGAATCACGAAGGGAATTTTTTAGAAGAACACACAGTACTTGTGAAACAAAAACATTTTCAACTATTTCTAATTCATCAATTACATGACTGCTGTAAACGATGAAGCATGGGACGAGTGGGAAGACGACGACGCCGTGTCGTCCCCACCACCCCCTGGTCATTCTACACCTCAAACCCACGAAGCCAAGACGCAGGCACATCTAATCACGTCGAATTCACCTTCATCTGATGCCGGAGAATGGGGTTTTGACGTGTCCGAACTCGAGCAGGAGATGTTGATTCTTCCGGCCACGTACGCGACGCCCATCTGCGCGCCAGACGCTGCCAAGAGCAGCGAAGAAAAGCTCCTATCAATGCTTGAAGGTCTGCCTTCGACCTTACAATCAGGTGGTGAGCGAATGCGAACGCTCCAGACGCTAGCACTGGTCGCACGGCTGCACGTCGTAGCCGCCCGCGATAGCTTTGCACAGCTGCACAACGATGCCCAGACGCCTCACGAAGAGCTGGAGACAATTAAACAAGAGCTCCATCAATTGTCTGGAGAATGGGGACACAAAAAGCTGCTGGAAACGACGCTGACGGCCTCGGAGCGCCAACAACTCGAAGAGATGACGGAGCTACTGCACCACGCCTTAAGCGCTGAAAACGAGGACCTGACGCTGTTCCAGGAGGTCATCGAACAGCTCTTTGAAGGCCTCAAGGACAACAAATTGGTGTTATCTACCAACTGGCTTCAGGAGGAGAGTGCACGTGAGGAGTCGGGGTCTGACAGCTACTTGAACCAGGTCCTGGCCATCATCAGTGACGAACCGGGCAATAAGAGCCGGATGCCGACACTATCGGAGGCCGAAATCTTTCAGGACGCAAAAGATATTGGACGCGATGAGCTGCTGATCAATGGAGAACGCGTAGAAGGCACGAGAGGATACGACGCGGTGGTGGACGCATTGCAGCATGAGTTGGAGCTGGTACTGGCGCGTCAGGTTGGGAAAACGCCAGAGCAGACGCCCATGGCTGTGAGCAATGCCTTACAGTCAGTCGCAATGACAGTGCTGCATGCAAGCAACCGAACGGAGTCCGGCGGTTGCTCCTACGAACTTCTGAGTAAGCTACTGAGTAACCACGACATGGATCGCGTGTTACTACGCCCGGCGTCGGCGCGTGCTTCTCCGCTTCAAGTTAAGATGGATGTAGGTCCGTATCTGGAGGCTGTACCGGGCTCCAAAGAACCAACGTGGGCGTTCGGGCTACGCGTCAAACTCGCAGCAGTGACGTGGTATCTTGTATGCGACGCTGAAGACCCGACGAATGAGCTGTATGAGGTGGAAACCACGTTCGACAACCGACTCGCCTTCCCCGTCGGACTTACACCGTTCCACCCACTCGATACGATGCGTAAAGACCGCGGTGATGTTGCCGTCCGCTTAGTGACAAGTACACAAGAGTAATAGATCAAAAGAGAAGACGGTAGATAAACGCACTCGGCAAAACACTCGATTACTTTTAAGGTCAAAATCCGCGAGGGTTAAGCTATCCACATGTCGTTCTGTTCACAAAGCGCAGTCGCCCTCTATCGGTGCGCATTCACTCCATCTACAAGATGCACACCCCGTCGCCGTTGGGCGTGATCATGACGATACTGGAGTAGCGCGTGCCCAACGGGTCGTTGTACACGCTGTCTTCTGATGGGCGTACGCCGTCCGCCGTGGTGGCAGAGCTGCGAGAGCCGTCGGGGCCTGTACCCTCCGTCTCGTGGTTCTGCTTCTTCACGTACGCGAAGATGGCGACAACGGCCGCGCAACCGGCCGCGGCGACCACCGCCAACAAGGCCGATGTGCCTGTGTCGCTCTTACCGGACACGTCTTCCGCGCGCTTGGCTTGAGCTTCCTGGCTCGTTAGACTGCCGCTCCCAAACGTTGATTCCGCAGCCGGCGGGGCGGGCGTAGCCGCCGGTGCAGCCGGAGCGGGGGCCGCAGTAGCAGGAGCAGGTTCAGGACGTAGCGTCGTCTTGTTAGGCTCGGGAGTAGACACATCGCCCACTTCTGGACCTTCCATGGATCCCGACATAGACGTCGAACCTTCTGCAGTAGAAGCCGAGTCGTCAGGAATACCGACCTCCTCCGAGCCAGAACCCGAGTCAGAGGCACTGTCGTCGGCATTAGAGGAAGAAGAAGTAAAAGGTTGCTTAGTTTTGGTAGGCTTCTTAGTCGAAGGCTTCTTGGTCACGTCCGCTACGTCGGTCGACGAGGACGATGAATTCGAAGACTTGGGGACAAACACCGAGTCATCACTACTGTCAGACTCGTCGCCGGCTGACGTGTTCTTCTTGTTCTTAGAGTTGGGCTTGCTAGAGTCCGAGTCGGTCTGGTCCGCGCTGGTCTCGGTCTTTGAGTCGGACGAGTCCTTAGCCGTCAGAGTCACAATGTGTGGGGTCGATGGGGTCTTCTCGTCCTCCTTCTGCGACGACGGACTCTGCTGCGTTGTGGTCTTGGTAGTGCCAGTCTTAGTAGTGCCAGTCTTCGTGAACGCAGTCGTGGGAGGTGCAGTGGTAGGACGTGCAGTTCTGGCTGGAGGACTCGTCGCAGACGGAAGTCCCGCCGTCACGAGCGTCGTACTGCCCACCGTCTGGGTGACCGCGTCCGTGGCCAAGGTCGCTGTAGGGGTAACCACATTCGTTGCCGTCTTGGCCACAGTCTGCACTACGGGTGCCACCGTATTGGCCGTGTTGGTCACGGTATTCACCGTCGAGTCGACCGTGTTGGTCACGGTATTCACCGTCGAGTCGGCCGTGTCGGCCACCGTGTTAGGTATCTTTTTAACAGCCGGGGTCACCGTCTTCACGACGTTGGACGCAGTATTCACTGCATAACTGGCTGTGTCGGCCACAGTGTTAATGACCTTGTTGACGACTGGGGTCACCGTCTTAAGTGTGTCGGTCACGGTATTCACCGTCGAGTCGGCCGTGTCGGCCACCGTGTTAGGTATCTTTTTAGCAGCCGGGGACACCGTCTTCACGACGTTGGACGCAGTATTCACTGCATAACTGGCTGTGTCGGCCACAGTGTTAATGACCTTGTTGACGACTGGGGTCACCGTCTTAAGTGTGTCGGTCACGGTATTCACCGTCGAGTCGGCCGTGTCGGCCACCGTGTTAGGTATCTTTTTAACAGCCGGGGTCACCGTCTTCACGACGTTCGACGCAGTATTCACTGCATAACTGGCTGTGTCGGCCACAGTGTTAATGACCTTGTTGACGACTGGGGTCAATGTGTTGGTCACGGTATTTACCGTCGAGTCGACCGTGTTGGCCACAGTGTTAGGTATCTTTTTAACAGCCCGGGTCACCGTCTTCACGAACGTTGGAACGCAGTATTCACTACATAAACTGGCGGTGTCGGCCCACAGTGTTGGTGACCTGTTGACGACTGGGTCACCGTCTTTATGTGTTGTCACGTATTCACGTCGAGTCGCGGTGTTGACCACCGTTTAGTTATTTTTAACAACGGGTTCCCCCTTTTTCCGGAGTGTGGGGGGCACTTTTTTCCCAAGACCAAAAGGGGGTTTTTTTTGGCGCCCCACACATTGTGGGGGGAAACTCTTTTGGGGAGGGAAGGGGGGTTCCACCTCTTCTAAGAGGGTTTGGGTCCCGCGCTTTTTTCACCCCTGGGATTTCGACCCTTTTGGGCCCCACAGTTTAGAGATATTCTTTAAAACAAGCGGGGTTCCGGTTTTTCCCGGTCTTCACGACGTTGGACGCAGTATTCACTGCATAACTGGTTGTGTCGGCCACAGTGTTGGTGACCTTGTTGACGACTGGGGTCAATGTGTCGGTCACGGTATTCACCGTCGAGTCGGCCGTGTCGGCCACCGTGTTAGGTATCTTTTTAACAGCCGGGGTCACCGTCTTCACGACGTTGGACGCAGTATTCACTGCATAACTGGTTGTGTCGGCCACAGTGTTGGTGACCTTGTTGACGACTGGGGTCACCGTCTTTAGTGTGTCGGTCACGGTATTCACCGTCGAGTCGGCCGTGTCGGCCACCGTGTTGGTCACCTTGTTCACAGCAGGAGCCAGTGTCTTAACAACGTTAGACGCAGTGTTAGTCACCGTTTTCACCGTTGATCCCGCAGTGTTAGCAATAGTATCAATGACGGGAGCCACCGTCTTAGCGACATTCGACGTGGTGTTGGCCAATGTTTTGACCGTAGAGCCGGCCGTGTTGACCACCTTGTGCACAACAGGGGCCACTGTGTCCACCACATCATCCACGGTATTCGTGACTCCATTTACCGTCGAGCCAACAGTCTGCGTGACGCCATTAACTGTCGATCCGACCGTCTTCTTGACGCCATTGACTGTCGACCCAGCAGTCTGCGTAACATCGTCTAGCGCCGACTCGGCCGTGTCAATCACATCGTCCAGCTCAGAACCGACGGTGTATACCACATCGTCCAAGGTAGAGCCCACAGTATTCGTAACGTCATCCAAAGTAGAACCCACGGTATCCGTCGCGTCGTCCAAGGTAGAGCCCACTGTCTGTGTAACATCGTCCAAGGTAGAACCCACCGTTTGAGTCACATCGTCGAGAGTAAAACCCAACTGGTCCGCCACGCTGTCGAGCGTAGAGCCCGCAGTGTCCACCGTAAAGTCCACCGTCTGCGTTACCCCATCGAGCGTCGATCCGGCCGTCTGGACCACGTCATCCACCGTCGACGCCGCCGTCTTAGTCACGTCGCCCACAGTCGACGTCGCTGTCTTCGTCACGCTGTCCACAGTCGAAGGCGCCGTCTGGGCCACGTCGTCCACTGTGGACGCCGCTGTCTGAGCCACATCGCCCACTGTCGAAGTGGCTGAGTTCACGACTGAGCCGGTCGTTTTGGTCACGCCGTTCACGGTCGTGCCGACCGTGCTCGTTACGTCCTGTACCGTCGACGCGGTCGTGTCTGTCACCTGATCCACGACGTCTGTGGCCGAGTCCACCGTGCCAGTCACAGTGTTCGACAGCAATGAGCCAAGTCCGAGCGACGGGCTGTTAAAGCTGGTGCTCGGCGCGGTCGTAGCGGGAGCTGTAGTGGTCTGTTCCTGCTGCTGCTGCTGCTGCTGCTGTTGCTGCTCCTGCTGCACTGTTTCAATCCCCACAACGCCGTCGAGACTACCGCTGCCACTCGCGCTGCTCTCCTGTGCGTGCACCGCCGCCATCACAAGGCAGGCCGCCGTGATCACGCGAACCAATACACGACGCATCGTTTCAATGTGTCAATGCTAAGACCCGAACGCAAAACGCTTCCAAGTCCGATCACTGGATCCTCGTCGCGATCAGACAAGAGCGCGCGCAGAGAGCGAAAGGAATCGAGTGCGTGGGTGGGCGAGTACTTGCGGTTGCGAGGCCGAAGTGGAAATGGGCCCATGGGACGTAACAGCCAGATAGTCAGACCGGTGGGCGTCTGTCTTGTCGTTCTACCCACACAAGTGGGACCAAAATGGGTCAATATGTGGTGCACACAATTTCGTTATTAGTGAAATCAAGCTTTAGTTTTCGATTTTGAAATCGAAAGACACAATTTATGGTCATGAATTGTGCTAGTTCCACTGTTGACTAAAAAACGGCCACCTTTTGGTGCCCAGCATTGCATAATCCACGGTGCTGGCCAGCGTTGCATACAGCTTGGTCTCCAATCAACCAAGCCAACGCGTCGATCATCTGCGTTAGGACATCGAACAGCGTTCGCCTCAAGTCGGTGGCGCGCGGCATTTTCTCAACGTTAGTGGTCCATAGTGATCAGGCTAGGTAACCTAAAAACTGTGTGTCAAACTGATATCTGGGGCACTACCGGTAGTTCACTCCAGCTGGCTTTGCAGCAGTGACCGTGACGTTACAGCACTTTCCAGGCTTGAGTGTTTTGTTTCACAGCTTGACACGCCGCCACACCGGAGATCGCCATTATCGAAGATGCATGGTCTCCTATCTGTAAAACTTGATGCCTATTTGCCAAGCAGTGACCTCCTCTCGGTCGCCATTAGAGAGCAGCCACCTGATCTCGGATGTGTGGCCACTTTGCCCAGCTCCGCTGATCCTGCAAGAGTCTGACGACGACGTGAGCTTACGCCACAGTCGCCAATTGTAGCACAAAAATTATTGCTGAATTCAAAATTCATTTCTTCGAGTAGTTTTTTTAAAGTTTTTATAAAAAGTGAAATACGAAGTAAAAAACACAAAACCAAGAAAAATTAAATCGAGCAACAAGATTTTGACTGGCTAATTCTACTAGTAGTAATAATGCCCGCATTTGTATTTTGTTGATTAAAATCGTTTTTTTGTACTTTGCTTTATAACAACTAAAGCCTCTAATATTGGTTAATTTCTAAAAAGTAAAAGTAAATCACTAATATTGGTTTAAATTCCTATTAAGCCATCTCAAAAACAGGGGAGTCGCAGTTAGTTTTTGTTGCCGCAGCAAGTCAATAAAATTATCGGCGCTCCTTTGGATGACATATTCTTAAACGATTAGAATCAAAAGTCGCGCAAGTCGGGCAGCAGCAGCTACATTTTTTTCTCAGTGATCTGCAAGGAGAACAGTCGCAGATCCACTCGCATATATTAATGACGCCGTGTAAGTGGAAGGCATGCAGTCGCGTTGCGAAGGTTACCACTGATGAATAGGCATTACTATCGTGTGGAAATAACGGATGTGAGCACAGCATACGTCGCAGTTGCTTGACTGCAATGATCTCAACGTTCAAGGCCGAAGAATCGTTCGACAATAGCGCCTGCGGAAAACGCTGATATAATGTTGTTGTGAAGGCCTGTAGGCTGGCTTCGCAGGCTGCTAACAAGAGAGTTCCGTGGCGCAACGATGGCTCAGATTCAAGCACGTCAGCTTTCTAAGTGTATTGATTAAGTGGTTAGCGTATAGAAACAACTACAACTGCTACAGGGCGGGGAGAGGGACAAAGTGGTGAGACTAATCAAACGCTAGCAACTGAGGTCGTGGATGCTATCGTAAACACTGGGGTGATCACTGTAAGAACACCAAAGGACGTGCTGAACAAGATTCTCGGCCTTGAGACCAGCTTCTCTTCGGCTTCTGAAAGGTTCGCCAACACTAGCCAGGTGTGAATTCGAAGAGGGATTTACGAGTAGCAATATTTCAAGGATGCCCAAGTTTTTACGAGCAGTAGCCCGTTATGGACGATAGTCCTAGTACACACCCACTATTATTAAATACTCAGGGAGGATTCACATACAGTGATCGTGATAGTGATAGCTCTTCTCGGAGGAAGTCGTAGAATCAGCCAGAGCTGGTGGTAGTACTGATTTAGGTGACAGCGCTCTAATTACCCCCGACCGCGCAAGCAGAACCTCACAAGCACCAGCAAAAATACAAGCACCGTCCATGCAGCAACAACCCAGTTTGGCTGAAATAGTGATTCATAAGCGGAGAGGGGGTGCGCTGGCGTGTATCCTAAATGCCAACATCAGCTCAAAGAATAGACGTGTTTTGACTGCCGACCACTAATCCCTCGTAACACTGAAGAAAAAACGGCTCGTAGGATATGTTCAGCTTGTCTTCACTTGAGTAGTCCGCATCAACAAGATACCGCAGGACCAACGCAGCACTTCTTTCTTCAACGACGACGTGCAGCTCTCGGAGAGTAAGCTGCCTAGTACTATGGTGTGACATCACAGAAAAAAGCTCTTGCTGCTGCGGAATGTGGTCAATCGCCCGCATTGTGATTGGATAAAAACACATTCTGGCGAGCCGCCAATAGAAAAAAATTAACTTCTGCTAACTGTTTAATTGCAAACGTCAGTAGATCCCGTTGGAGCGTACCAGCGTAATGCCTCTGAAATGGCCGCTTGACGTACCCAAAAAGTAGTTCTATTGAACTGAAGAAGGGTCAGTATCGTGACGAGAGCAATGGCACTATCCCAACGCTCATCAAAATGTGAGCCTCTTCGAGATCGCGATGTATGGATGCAGCGTCAAAACTCCAGACGTAATGAGAGCCCCAGTATAGACGTGCACTTCCTTTTGTTGAATAAGTGAAGGCCTTGCAGCACTTAACAAACAAGTGCGATCCAAGGTGCCTTGAGCATCGTAGTAGTCCAGTACGCCGCCCACATCGATAAATGCCAGATTTATACCCTAGGCCTCCACTGGAAGTCGCCTCGAATGGCAATGTCTGGTTCCTAAGCGAGTAAATCCGCCCTTAGACCAGCACCAAGAAAAGAAGCCGAGATCCAAGGCGATGGCGATACCAAGTCCAGAAATACTACCGGCAAGCTAGATCCCAGGTGAACGAACGACTGCGGAGTGCGATACAGGGTCGAGCGGATCGACACAACGAAGATGCCTGTCCCGCATCGCCGCAGTTTTGATTTTGAAGCGAACTCCACAATTAATGAGCGAGCGGCAACGATTACACTCAGTAACCGACTTGTCACCTCACATATACTAGGAAACCGTCACAAGAAAGATACTCGCTTTTGTTTACGTCGTCTTAACAAAAATTCCCGTTAATCTACAGCAGATTGACGGGAATTGATTACTGCTGACAGTTACAGACTACTCGTTTAACATCTATTTATAGCTGGAAAAGTAACCGCCAGCAATTGTTGTTTGATGTACAGCGATCATTTCTTCAACACTCTCCAGATAAGTCCACATTCATGGATGATGCGCCAAACCGAAGTCTTTGAAATTTCAAAGCGATATGCGCTTTTTTAAAGCAAGTTCTGCTTCATCTAAATACGCGAACTTATGTAGCCGTTGCTTGTGAGAAGCCGTGAATTCAGTAGCTCCTGGTGTCTGAGCGCGCGGATCGATCCCGGGTTCATCGTAGACTTTGATCCAGCTCGGATCGTTTCCACAGACTTATTGTACTCCTTCGCAAGCTCCTGCTTCGTGTACCTAATACGGTTGAAACCTTATAGACAATAGAAGACGGTGTTTGGGTGCGCGTGCTCTTTCGACACAGATTCCTCCATCTTGTCCTCCCAGATGAACGGATAATTACGTAGGTATAGTAATGAGTTGATATCGTAACGTCGATGAGCTAATAAAAATCTCCATATACCTGTGAGGAATGCGCAGAATTAATAATAACAGTTGATACAGTCTCTTGTGCTGTTTATTACACTAACAACATACATACAAAATGTTGCTCAGCAATTGTTTATTCGAAGAAACCAATATCACAAAATTGCACATAGCAATAACCGCTTTGGGGACTTTAGAGGCAAAGCGTCTTTTAGTGGTCGGGACAGCAATAGAGAAGCTGCTTCAATTTGCTAACTAAGAAACCAACCGGCAGAGATGCCAACCCCCGAGAGAGCACTGATACTGAAGATACTATAACGACATCAGCAAGATAGCTTACCGAAGAACGACACTTTGTTTGTATTACCAGCAAAGCTGCCCTATCCCTTTCTGACTTCCAACAGGTAATCGGAGGGTGTATGAGCACCGCCCAAGAGATACAACTGGTCTTGGTGACATTAAAACGCTGATGACAAGATACATGAGCTCGTAGAGGCAGCAACTTGCCGAAGCGCGACACCTAGTTCGCTAGACCAGCAATCGGTGTCCGATTGCTTTGTCGTGTCTTACCACAGTTGAGCGGACACAACGATCCAGACAACGCTTCGGAGCATACATGGTCCTAGAGGCACAAAACGATGTCAGCAAAGGTAAATGAGCATGTAAAAGCAACAACTTACCGACGAGCGAGCCTGGCTCGCTTGCCCAGCTTTCGACGCCCTCTTTCTTCGTCTGGTCTTGGCGACGCTGCGGCGAAAGCGCGGGTAGAAGTTGAACGGTAACTTTTTGCCGTGACCTGCACGTGCAGACGAATAATTGCGTGTCGACCAATCAGACCAATGGATTGATTTCCTGCTGGTTTGACAGAATCAGTCTAAGCCGACAAAGGTGGGCGGGATTAACATTTTCAATTGAATATTAAATGTAATGTGATTTTTTTGACCGGTCATGCTACCGACTACACATTGCATACCCCAACAGGCCGCGCCGGACTTGTCCATCTACTGGTCTCGCTCCTGTTTACACAGCCCCGCTCCACCAACAGCTCGTTAAACCAGTGGTGGTAAAGTCCATGCATTTCGGCCAATCGTAAAAAGTCCACCAGCAGAAGGCGTGGCAGAAGGACTTAACGGACTGATGATGTGTGTAACGTAATTATAAGTCAAATAGATAAAATAGATGCTACTGAGTCTCAATTTTATTTGCGAAGAAGAAGCCGACCGGGAAGCGTAGCATGACCTGGACCTAAAACACTGCCAATTGATACTCCAAGAGTTGATGAAGACTCTCGCGTATCTGATGGAAGATGCTAGAGCCCTTCTTAGATGCTACCACGG